AAAATTAATCATGTTTCAAAAACAAAAATGACAACACTGACTTATATTTCCAAATATACTAACAGTAGATGTTCTCAGCCTTATTTGTTTGATCATTCTACTAGCATCCCTCATATAAGTAGCAACTTGGTGGCTTATATCCTGCGATGGACATGTTAAGAGTAAAATAGCCTACCTATCACATAACAGAATCCTTGGTGAAGTTAAAAAGCCAAACCTGATTAAAAACCTGTAATTTGCCTTTAAATGCAGCAGCAACAGTTGTCCCCGAAAGGTGTGAATCTACAAAATGCAATCATGAATAACATTAATTATGTCACAGTGTTTATCTGATCAGTTTTATGCACATGCACATAGGTGTAAGAAATAATATTTTCTAGCGCGTCCCCTAACACAAAAGATGAAAAACAAGAACGACAAAAAGGTTCAATCATGTCCGAAGCCTAATACACTACAAAAAAAAAAACAGGGTATTAGTGACGGAATTTAGCAATGAAATTTTATTCCGTAGCTAATTCCTCACAAATTCTGTCATTAAAAATAGTGACGGAATTTAATGACAGAAAATTTTTGTCACTAAATTAGTGAAGGATTAGTGACAGAATCTTATTCAGTCACTACATTCTATTACAAGTTCGTTGCTAATTTTGTTTTAAATGATTAGTGATGGAAACATTCCGTCACCAATCCATCACTAACTCTCATTTTGTGACGGAAACTAGTGATGGAATTTTTCTATCACTAATTTCCATCGCAATTCCGTCACTAATCCATCACAAAAAAATAATATAAATATATAATAATTATTTTTTAAACTTATTATTAAAATAAAAATAAAAATATCATAATTTTTAAATAATAAAAATTAAAAAATACAAATATTATAGAAGAAAATAAAAATAAAAATATATAATATACTTATTATTTTATTAAATATTTGAATAAAAATATAAATTATTAGAAATTTTTAACTAAAATATAAAATTAAATTCAAATAAATAATAATATATTTAATTATATAATATATATTAAATTATGTACATAATATTTTTATATATTTTTGTATTTGTTATTAGAAATATTATATATATTTATTTTTGTAAGAGAATTTCACAGGTGTTTCTTAGCTCAACTGGCAAAGGCTCTCAGGTTCGAACCAACACTTCTTTAGAAATTGGCTCAATTTGTGACGTGGTGATGATGTGGATGATATGATGATGTGGCTGCATGGGAGAGAGGAGGAGTTGACATGGCATCCAATGATGGACACGTGGCAATAATGTGGACGAAGAGATGACGTGGCAACATGGGAGAGAGATAGAGGAGTTGGTGAGGTGGCAGCTATTGATGACGTGGCGGCTCATAGTGATGGACACGTGGCGATGATGTGGTATTTTAAATTTACAAAATAAAAAATGAAAATTTTCATCTCCATCATTATTTTGTGACAGAATTTTTGTGGGATATCCACCATTAATTAGCGACGGAAAATTTCCATCTCTTCCATCTCTTTAGTGGACAGAAAAAATTCCGTCGCTCACTGAATTCCGTCACTAATCCGTGGGTAATTTTGATTAGTGATGAAAATTTTGTCATTAAATTCCATCGCTAATTTGATGTTTATAGAGATCGCTATTGCTTAGAAGGATAACTATTAATGCATCATCAGGTTGCACCCTAACAAGAATTTCTCACATGCAAAATCATGAACGAGTGTGGTTTACTCTGTTTCTCGGCCATATCAGAGCCCATAAATATGTGACAAAAAAAGAACATTTTGCCAAAAAGATATATTTTCAAAGAACACTATTAAAGCACCAAAACAAACAATCATCCCCAATACCTCGAGAGCTCTCAAAGAAGAAAGAGATGTCGGTAAATAATGCTCCCTCTGTTTTGTGTAAATCATTTTTAACTTCTTTACACACAAAAAAAAAAAGAAGAAGAAGAAAATTTACTACACTTCTATCCCTGCTTCTTTCTTTTAATTTGAAGTGAATATAAGCATCCCACATGTTCTCATTCTAAGGTGTGGAATACGAAATTACCACAATTATATAAAAGGTATTTTAGGAAAATTTACACATTGACCGCATATAATAGTAAGAATATTTTTTCATAAATAATTATCTGAACTAATTTTTTTTAATCTCTTAAAATTAAGATTAGATGTGTAGTTCTTATATTTAATACGGGACAGAGTAATAAGAAGGTTGGGCTATTACAATAAACATTGGAGAGAGGTGGGATATTAGAGCCTCCAAAATATGCATTTGCTTAATCGTCAAACAGTGCGGTACTCATAAAGAACGTAACGCTATGTCGGCCACAAGAGCTGAAGCTTGGAAATTTCTTTGTAAAAGAAATAATAAAGAAATTAAAGAACCAAAACCATTAAAACAACTTCAACATGCGTACTTTTATTCCCTATAGCTAGTTGTAAAATAAATAAAGTTGTTGTTGATAAAAAAAAAAAAACATGGAATAAATAAGTAAAGTTTAGTTGTCTTGCAACCTCGTCCCACTTTCGAAACATTTAAGAAGAGAAAAAGAAAGGGAAAGAGAAAAAGAGACACACTCTCACCCTGCGAAAAAGCGAATGGCTGAATGATGATACAATGAAGCAACAATCCACAAAAGTGACAGACGCGGCACGACTTGACTTCACTTGTTGACAACAAAGGCTGAAACAAGACATAAATATGTGAGGGATCGAGGCATTTGTTCATCTCTTTATCTGAGCAACTTGTTTGAAGAGAAAGCAATTGTCTGCAAATTCTGAGAAAGCTGCCATTTTTGAGACCGCCCTTAGCTTGTGAGCTGTTTCTTTTGCTTCCCTCCGCATCCAGGTTATTTCTTCTCTTTTACTCTCTTTATCCCATGAATCCATCATCCTTCTATTCTGCTGCCTGCAAAAGATTTTTTGTTTTATTTCTTCTCCTAATGCTGTTGATTCAATCTCCTCCTTAGCTCCCTTACTGTCGTAGATCTAATAAAACTTAAACATTTGAATTTCTTTTATACTTCAACTTCTGAAAAAACAAAGTCCTAAAACCTTCAAAGATATGGACGCACTTGATTTATTGATGAAGTTCTTCATTTATTTATTCATATTTTTCTTAGTGAGGTAGATGGCTGATTTATTTATTTTATTTGAAAAAGTGAAGTGCTTCTTTCATTCACCTTAATCACTCCCCGCTTTGTTGCTGTGCGTGAAAAAGGCAACCAACAGGGCGTATTCTCTTTTCTCATGTTCCATTTGCTTGATCCCGCCGATCTCCAGTTTTACCAGTATTTTCCTGGAATTTCTACTGTTTTGCTTTTGTGCACGGAAAACAAAAATTAAAAAACATCAAGATATATCAATTTATTCAGTCCAACTTATTTTGAAAGAAAAAAACCATTAACACACGGCCTGGTTAATACGCCCTCAACACATGTATTTTTACTCACTATAGCTCTGCTTCTTTTAAAATAAATTAAGTTGTTGGTGAAAAAAAAATCAAATAAATCAGTAAAGTTGTTGGGTGGACTTGACTGGTATGTTGCGCCCCATGATGAACTCTTTCTTTCGCACTATTATTCCATCCATAGATATATGTTCTTCATTTTAGTATCAATCGTTACTCTCCATCAAATTGCTATATATTGATCGGTCAGTAACTTTTTGCAACTTCCTGAATATTTTTCTTTGATCTTTCTATCACGTTAATCAAGAGCCAAACCATCAACACGCGAGCTTCCCGGCACAGGAATAAGAGCCTCTGAAACAAAGATAAATACATGTGAGTGAGGCATTCGGGGATCTCTGAATCTGAAGATCTTGTCTAAAGAGAAAGCAAGTTTGCAAGTTATGAAGCTGACGTTCTTCTCTGTTACTTCCATCTACTGTTTTGCAAGCTTTTTTCGCGAAATTTTCACAGAAAAATTCTGCATTAGATTTGCTGTTTTCTTTTCCTTGTGGCACCTGTTGATTTTATTCTCCTCCCTAATTACCTTATAGTTGTGGATCTAAGAAAACTTCAACATTTGAAATTTTTTATACTTCTGAAAAACAAAGTCCCAAAACCTTCTAAGATATGGGTGGACTTGATATATTGATTATAGTCTTCATTTATTTTATTCAAATTTTAAATACTGTTTGTTATGAAGGAAATGAAGGGGAGGAGAGGGGAAGAAAAATTTTATTGAGCTCCATTTAAAAAAAATTAGAGAAGTGGTGTTTTTAAAATTTTAATAAAAATAAGAAGTAATATAAAATAGTAATAATATTAATTAAAAGCTTTTAATTCCACTTCTTCAATTTTTCTAATCAAACTTATTAAAACTTTTCCTCTATTTCCCTGCCATCCATTTAGTTTCCCTTATAACAAATGGATCCTTAATGAAATAAATGGCCCATTTATTTATTTTATAGGAAAGCAAAGTGCTTGTTCTTCCTTTCACCTTAATCACTCCCCATTTCGTTGTTACACGTGAAAAAGGCATTGATACAAACGAACAGGGCTTTTTCTCTTTTTTTCATGATCCACTTGCTAGATACGGTTTTATTTTTCACAGAAATCATGCAAACATTAATACGTATCCATTAATTCAGTCCAGCAACTTCTGACAAAATAAAGAAATTAACACACGGCCTGATGTGCCTTCAACACATGGACTTTTACTCACTATAGCTTCTTTTAGAATAAATTAAGTTGTTGATAAAAAACATCAAATGAATCAGTAAAGTTGTTGGGTGCACTTGACTAGTAAGTTGATCACGTGATGAATTCTTTCTTTCGCATTATTCTATCCATAAAGACATGTTCTTCATTTTAGCATCAATCGTTCTGTAACTTGTTCTCGCTCCCTAAATATTTTTGTTGGATATTTTTATCACGTTAATCAAGAACCAAACCATGGCACCTCCTGAGAAGTTAAAGCCAAAAAAAATTGCTTGATCACGCTAATTTCGGGTTGGTGAAAAGTTTCAGGTTAAAACAAGAGATTACAGTCACATGGATGCAACCTTTTCTTTAACGCTTATAGAAGCTATCTTGATTTTGCTGGCTATAGCAATTTCTAAGGCTATCAGATTAATCTCTCCGCTTCCTGATAGGTAACATCTTCTTTAATTGTTCACTTTATACGGTTTGCTGATAGACCAATATTTATTATTCATGAAGATTTCTTTCCATCTGTAGTTGTAAAGATGCTGTTGATTCGATTCCCACGGTTTCTTCTCCTTCTAATATCATTGTTGCTCCTTCTGCGACCAAATATGACGTCTTTCTTAGCTTTAGAGGGGAAGATACTCGTGACGCTTTCTCAAGTTATCTCTATGAAGCACTTCGCGAAGCTAACATTCATACTTTTATGGATCACAAGCTCCACAAAGGAGATCATATCTCATCTATTCTCTTGAAAACAATAGAAGAATCAGAGATATCTTTGATTATTTTCTCCAAAGATTATGCTTCTTCAACTTGGTGTATGGATGAGCTCTTTCATATTATGAAATGTAAGGATAAATACGGAAGGCTTGTCATCCCAATTTTCTTCCAGGTAGATCCATCAAATATTCGCAAACAGAATGGGAGTTTTGGAGATGGGTTTGCTAAGCTCAAGCAGAGATTTAAGCACAACCAAGAAAGAGTGCAGAAGTGGGAAAATGCTTTGATCAAAGTAGCAAGTCTATTTGGGTGGGATTCAAAAAATATCAGGTAGCTTTTGTTATGCTCATTCTTCTCTTACATATTTCTTTCTTAAATTTGGGTATTAAACATAACCATGATTTTAATTTATATTTATGCTAGGCCTGAAGCTAAACTTGTCAAAAAGATTGTCAAAGATATTTTGAGCAAATTGAATCGCAAGTCGTCCTTTCATGTGGAAGGACTAGTTGGAATTGATCATCAGATTCAGGAAGTTGAAGAGCTACTGAGTGAAGCTCGCATTGTGGGAATATGGGGTATGGGTGGTATAGGCAAGACCACTCTTGCTAGTGCCGTATTTGAGAGGTTGAGAGCAGAGTTTGAAGCTTCCTGCTTTGTTGAAGATGTAAGAAAACTGCTGGAAAAGAATGGTGGCTTGAATGCATTACAGGAAAAATGCCTTAAAGAATTATTAAAAGATGAGGAGATTAACACTTACAATTTAAGGTCTGATTTTGTGAGAAGAAGGCTTCACCGTAAAAAAATTCTTCTGGTACTTGATGATGTGGACAATTTTATGGCGGCTGAAAATTTAATCAAAGCATGTGGTTGGTTTGGGGAAGGAAGTAGAATTATTATCACATCAAGAGACATGCAAGTGCTTAAAAATACTTCTGCATTTCTAACATATCGTGTTCCAACAATGTATCACCATGATGCTCTTCATCTCTTTAGTTTGAAAGCTTTTAAGCAAAATCAGCCATTCAAAAACTACTTGGAGTTATCAAAGCGGGCAGTGTATTATTGTCATGGAAATCCTTTAGCTCTAAAAGTGTTGGGTTGCTTTCTTCATGGCAGAGGAAAAGAAGTATGGGACAGTGCTCTGACAAAACTAAATCATACTCTTCACAAGGACATTTTTAAAGTGTTGAAATTGAGTTTTGATGGACTTGATGATGACATGCAGAAGAATGTATTTCTTGACCTAGCATTTTTCTTGAACGTAGGACATGGGATTTCTCTAGATTGTACAAGAGGCTTATATGGCTCTCATGCACGTATTGAGATAAGTGTACTTAAAGAGAGATCCCTCATTTCAGTGGATAGATATGGTAATATTGAGATGCATGCTCTATTAGTGGAGATGGGGCTTGAAATTTCTCAGCAACAATTAATATCTAACCCTGAAAAACCCATTCGACTTTGGAGACCCCAGGATGTTTTTCATTTCATGAAAAATGACAAGGTAATAATTTATTTTTCAGATTTTATTACATTCTTTATTCTCTTAATATTTCATTTCATTGTCATTATATTTTCATAAAAGCTATTCCTCTGGTCCTAAACATAAGACCCCTTTCATAGTATAATTTACACTACAAAAGAGATCTTATATTTAGGACCAGAGGAGTACTAGTTTATTCTCTAAAATCTTCGGTAAGTCTCAATGTATGCGGAATCAGACTCTTTATTTAAAAAAAAAAAGTCATTTCTTCAACTAAAATTGGTAGGGGTCGTATATAGTCTTCCTATTAGGAGTGATTTATTAATCTTCAACTTTGAAATATTCCTCTTCTTAAGTTTTTAGACAGAATATGATTAGTATGGTATAAGACATTTCTAAAATTTAGAGCATGAACAATCTTGAATAAATTATACAGTTATTCACAAAGATTGACATTCTTAATCTTTATATTAATTGATAGTTGATGTAGTATAAAGGTGATTGTGTGCATACTCACACTGCATTTGCATTCTAACGCGTTTTCTTAATAAAAATTTAGGAGAGAATTATAATGAAGTTTTAAGGAAGAAAAATAATTACAAACTAAGTTTTAGAAGTTGTCATTTTTTATTTTGAAACCTGTCATTATAGGCTTTTTTTTTGGGACTTGAGTGTAATTCTCCTAAAATTTACTATTGCAAAAAAGTACAAATTATGAAATTTGAACATAAAAAGAAATTTTTAAAAATTTTATATATGCCCCCGGGGGGATTTATATGCACTAATTTTTCTTTAAGAATAGCAGTTATATCAAGGGTTAATATAATTTTGGTCCCTTAAATTTGCATAAATTTTAGTTTTATTCTCTTGAGTTTCAAACAATGGGCTTTGGTTTTAAGGAGCAAAATGGTACATGTTTTTCTTAAGTTATAAGAAGCAATGTTTTGGATGGAAAGAAAAAACTGGAGAGATCAAAATTTATGATTTGAAATTCGAGGGATTAAAATCAAAATGATAATAAATTTGAGGGGACCAAAAACTATATTGATCCTTAAATAAAATTTAAATGTGCGCATGGTAAGGCCGTTCATATGATTGTCCCTGCTAGCGTGGCTGTGTATTTGTTTTGGCCAATTTATTTATTGCAAGATAAAATGAATTGTTTGAATAAAGTTCATCAAAGAAATTTCTAAAGGAAATATATTTAACTATTGTCTTGGTTATTTGTTCACCTTTTACATATTACTGGTGTTTTTCCCCATAGTTTGATCAGTAGGCGGCTGAGGCAATTTAATGCTTATCATTAGACATCAGAAATACGATAAAGAGGATTACATTAACAATTAGTAATTTTCAAAAGAATTATAATTTAAAATTAGCTAGGACTTTTGTGACAAGTGTTATTTTAAAAGACAAAATTAGTCTACAAAGAATTTTCATCCAGTGATTAGTGATATATGCATACGCACGTGTGAGCATAACTAACTGTTATTTGAGGTACAATGTGAAAATAAAAAACAAATGACTTTTCACTTTTATAGTTATATTCTAAATATCTGCGCATGCATATAGCTAGGTATACGCATCAATGTGTCTACATATTTATGATTTTTTAGAAATTTATTTATTATGGGAAAAACATGAATTGTAAGGAATTTTGAATAAAATGCATATAGCGATGTTAATTTGGATATTTTAAAAGTTGATATATTTAAATATTCTATGGTATTTATGGTCATTTTTTTAGATAATGATAATTGTGTTTCCCTTGATTTGATATGATTACCAGGGGATTGAGGCAATTCGATGCATGTCATTGGATGCAAGCCAGATAGAAATCATGACATTGAGGGCTAGTCATTTCCAAAGGATGCATTATTTAATGTGCCTTAATGTTTACAAGTCTGATCAAAGAAAGCCTTCAAAGTTGAATATTTGCGGAGAGTTGGATTATCTTTCAAAAGAATTAAGGTTTCTTCATTGGGAAGGATATCTACTGCCATATGTGCCATTACAATTTTGTGCTAAGAATCTCATTAAACTTAATTTGTCTAACAGTAATATCCAACAGCTTTGGGATGGAAATCAGGTACGTACGCATCATTTTTTCAAATGTATGTCATAATGTTTCTGTTGGTGTATGTGATTCTAAGACGCGGCATCAAACATTGACTAAAATAATTCACAATGCAAATGTTTAATTGTTTTTATGCTGAGAATTTTATTGAACTTAATTTGCCAAAGAGTAATGTCCATTAGCTTTAGGATGTAAATCAGGTACGTATAATTTCTCATATGTCATAATTGTTTGTTCTTGTGATTCTAAGAAACATTGACTAAAATAATTCAAAATGCAAATGTTTACTCTATTATTATCTTTCAGTTGATGGTTGAGTAGTAATTGTACAATTTGGGGGGAGTCCAACTGTTGTTGTAATGGGCATGAGAAAAATTCTTGATTAAATTGTACGTATGTGGAGTTATCTGATTTATTTAACACCACTACTTTGTTTTCTTCAGCAATTTCCAAATCTAAAGGAAATATGGCTAGAGAATTCAAAAAATCTCATGGCACTCCCAGATTTGTCTCAAGCCCCAAAGATTAAGTACATGAGTCTTAATGGTTGTGTGAATTTAGATCAAATCCATTCTTCAACTGTCCTGGAAAAGCAAGTCCATTTATTTATAAAAGATTGTGGGCCGATGCGGATAAATGTTGGGGGCAGTATGAAAGGGAGAAGTTCATCAGGGTTTCTGATTGTGCACAATTATTTGGATGTTGTCGATTTGACATTTAATAAAGTGACAATGAAGGTGATGGTATGCGGGAAGATGATGTGTGGTGCTGGATTTAAGCATGTGAGAATGCCATTGAAAGAGAAGGCAGAATTCATGAGAATGGCGACTTTACTTCCATTTATGAGGAGAGTTGTATGGTCTGAGAGTCCAATTGAGTTTGGGCATGATTTCAACCAACATCATACCTATCATGTTTATCATTATTACAGTCAAAATGATTGCTTTGGTATTGAAGTGAGGGTGAGGGGTCATAGAGGCGAAAGTCGTGTGGAAGATGATGAAGAAGAGGATGAGGATGATAGAGAAATGATTAGTGAGAATGAAAGAGAAATGAGTAGTAGAAGTGATCAAGTAGTAGAGATGACATTATTATTAATGGAAGATGAACAAGAAGAGGATGATGATGAGGATGATAGTGAGAGTGCTACCATATTAATAATAACAACACTTATTCCCAACACCATTCCTCGCTGGTCATTATTGGTTCGACTAACATTAAAAGAGAGTGATATTATTATTGGGAATAATAATACAGGTTGTAGCATCATCCCTCAAGCTTCAATAATCCTGAAATCACTTAATGAAGATTGCAGAAGGAGGATTCAGCCTCTCTTAGCTGTACAACTCTCTTCCCCAACATTATCCCCTTTACCTCGTCATTCTTTCCATGTCTTTTACAACCACTTGGAGAGCATGCCACAATATCGTCGTTTTCTTTTATTCAACAGTAGATACGGGTCATATAATTATTTCGATCATCCTCTCTTAACTGTTAGCTTTCGGGAGTACTGCTGATGATATTAATTATCATTTAAATTTCTCAGGTCATAAAATTATTATTTAAATCAGTCTCATTTATTTTTTTATTGCATATTAATATTATGTTTTTATGAAATATTAATTTTTCTGTTTTTTTAATATGCAATTCATGTTCGGAGGGCCTCCTCACAACTTTATAACATAAAAATTATTAATCTTATTTTGGCTTCACAATAACTGCGCCTAGAATGTGTGTTGCTCTCCAAGTGATGTGAGTATAATAACTAGCATGACAAACAATTTCCTTACTACGCAATTTTATTATTGGAAAGTAGAATGATTATTCATGAATCAACTCAACTTGTAAATGTTAAAATTTTTATAATATTTAAATTGCAAACTATATTAAAATAAAGTATATTTGCTCGATCGACCAATCATTCCAGGTTGATCGTAGTTAACGGGCACTGTGGTCATTTACACTTTTTTTTTTCCAAAATTACTCTTAAATTTCTTAGAATTTATTAATATTAAAAGGAATTAGAAAAATCTACTTATACCTGGTTTTCTCACTTGAAATCTAATGATAATTTTCCCTTCACATTATGTGACACCAAATATATACTTTTTTTTTTTTAAAGTGTGATTCGTAGAGTGCTCCCTCACAAGTTTAGAAAATAGAAATTATTAATATTAATATTGCTTTGTTCTATTGTTTGTTACTTTTCGCTTGTGTGTATTATATAATTAATTTATAAATAAATCGAGAAATAATTTTCCATGCGAGGCGATTTCCTTATGTTCTGTTTGGATGGGAAAAAAAAGTTGGGAAGAAAGAAAACAAAAGGAGAAAAAATGAAGAGAAGAGAAAAGTGAAGAGAAAATATTATTACCCATCTTATTTGGATGAATGAGAGAAAATATAGAGGAAAAAATTAGCAAACATGTGAATGACTAAAATACCCTTATCTATATGTCAAAATATATTACATTATCAAATAATTTAAATAAAATTAATTAATAAAAATATATTATCATATTATTATATTTAAAAATCAAATAGTTTAATAAAAATGTTATTTTTAACAAAAAACAAAAAAGTGGATAATTTTTAAATTAAATATAATAAAAGAAAATAAATAAAATATATATTATTTAAAATTATTGCTAAATAATAAAAATTTATTATAAAATTTGGCTACATGAAGATAATTTTGCTAAATGAAAAAATAGCCATAAATAAAATTAAAAAATTGTTTTAAAGGCAAAATATATGTTTATGTACCTAGTATGAGGGAGAGTATATGAGGAATGTGAGTTTTCTCTCTATATGTGGAGAAAAAAGTTGAAAAGAAAATGACATGGGTCCCGCACCTTATTTTTTTCTCCTATTTTTCTTTCATCCTGCTTTTCTTTCCTCATTCAAATAAGAGAAAACTCATTTCTGTCTTCATTTTTCCCTCTAATTTTCTTTCCTCCCTCATTTTCTCTCTATCCAAATAAGGGGTTAGGAAAGCAGGATGATTATTCATTATTTACCATATATAGCGTATCCTGTAATTTGTCTGGAAAAAAATATGTATAGTCTGATTGTATAAAATAGATTTTACTAAATTAAACTATAATAGAAAATATTACCATAACTCATATTTTATTACAATAAATCGTTATTTCTTCACAGCAAAAACCACGTCCTTATTCATTGGCTTTGTCGGGTTGAATGATAATGGGAGAGTAAAAAAATTTAATAAGTTTGATTTTCTCATGAAAAAGAAGCAGGTTTGACAGATTTTAATTTTTCTTCTCCCTCACTTTTATATCTTCTATCTGTTAATGGAGGCACAATGATATCTATCATTTTTCAACAATGACGAGGTAACAGTTTTATTTTTAAAAAAATTATTCTATATTTTATGCCCTTAATTTTTTTTA